GTATGATCGCTGGAACTGAAATTACAGATACATAAATACATCGAAAGGAAAAAGGGATTATCAACAAATCAATGAGAGAGAGGATCAACATAAGTTATGTTAATTAATTAGCCTAGTAGTTTTCGAATGATTGAAAATGCAACTAACAGATGTGGTTACTACATATCTCATGGGGATCTAGATTAAGAGATATATAAAGGTGATGAAAATACTACCCAAATCAAGTATCTCTAAACCATAGACTGTGTTTGCAATAAAATTAAAACGTTCGCTTTATAAATTAAAGCAATCTAGGCGGATATGATACCCCCACTTAAGTGATCACTTCACTGGGAAGGGACATAAGAACGATTAAATGTGCCCATGCATATTTATAAAGAAATTAGTTTCAGATTTTCAATTGTAGCTTTATATGTCGATGTTATGAATATAATAGGAACTCTTGATAAAATAAGAGAAACCATAATTTACTTGAATTCTAAATTTGAGATGAAAGATATTGAGAAAATTTCGTTTTGCCTAGCTGTTAGAGCTCGGTCACCAAACTTGTGGAATATTAATCCACCGATCCGCATATGTCCAAAAATGATCAGTCGATTTAATATGGACAAAACGTATCTGGCTAATACTCCCATGATTGGTCAAAGTGTTGGATATAAGGAAAAATTTGTTTCGTCTAAACGGTGATGATGAATAAGTGTTAGGAGCTGGAACTCCCTATTTAAGTACAATAGGCGCATTATATTGTATTTTGCACAATACACTTGGCCATATTTTGTATTTCTCAATGAACTTGCTAGCTATATTTAACTTAGCGCCAACGCAATATCATTGGAATCATATTAGATTAATCTTTTGGAACCATTGATGTGGGCTTATACTTCCCTACAAAGAGAAAAATGGTATTGATAATGGAACTGAGCGGCAAAAGTACCAGGCCTTATAGAAAAAATCAAATAATGTCTTACCATATATTAACTATCTACTTGACTCATAGAAAGGTCATTCCTATATTGGATAAAGAATTACCATAAGAAACATGCATATTGTTTGGAAGTAAACTAGGCAAACTCATGTAGCTACCTCTTCGAATTATTCCAATAATAATACTCTATATGAGACTATTTATTAGTGAGCATGGTTAAATACTATCATTACACATATTAGAGGAACTAGTGTTTTGAGTTTATCCAATACCTACCTGAATATGTGGAAATAATGTCTCGTGTATCAAAGAAATGAAAGTAAGATATATCAAGGGTGATAACACAAAGCATATTATGTTTTAAGTTTATATACAAAAAGCAACAACAAACCCCCTCTAGATTCAAGTGAATCAACTATAATACCAGGAGAATATGACATATTTGCTTACTAAATCATTACCTAAAACTAGGAATTAGCATGGGTCGGATGAAGAATAATTAGAAAAAAGTAATACTTGTTAAGGAAAAATATTGAAAGGGAAAAGATAACATATAACATTTTTTTATAGAAATTATGATGAAACATAATATTTTTTAGTATTAATATTTTTTTACATAATAAAAAAAAGATTGTAATAATAGTATATTTATAATTAAATAACATAATTAAAAGAAAATTAGTATAAAAAATACAAAAAAAAATGATAACATAGGGTGTAAGGGTGCAATTAGTAAGGAGTAGGGGTGTCATTAGTCTTTCCCATTTATTTTTTAGGGTTCTATATTTTTTGCTTTTTTTAATATTATCTTTGTTGTATGTATAGTCCTTTATAGTGAGATTCGCGGTGAGGTATATGAAGGAATACACATATCACTCGTTTCGTACCGGAAGAGTGATAAATTCTTCATTAGTTTATAATATCTGAAAAACTTGTAGAATTGTTTAAGAGATTAGATGAGTTAAGGAGGATTTGGCCTTGTTGCATGAATCGTACACATATATGATCTGAGTTCAATTTATTTTATCCAAATAAGTTATATACACAAACCTATATATGTTTATAGACACATTATTTTAGGAACGTACAATTATTACACTTTTTAAATAACTAAATGACATTTTCAATCTTGATAATAGAGAGATAAACTTTATCTATCTCATAATAAAAAATAAAAATTTAAAATTAAGGAATGATGAATTTCTCAAATTTGGGAATTCAGAGTAGCAGAAATCGTTCGATGGAAGACGAAAGCAAAAATGAGCAAAAGTGAAAGCAACAGCTAGGGTTTAATAGTAGCAGAAGGGTATTTATGTCATTTAAACACTTTTGGATGGAATGGATTTCAATTCGACCAGATTTACTAAAGAATGGGGAATTCCTCAAATTTAGGAATCTTTAGAATTCAATTTTATTTGTAACCAAACATTAGAATGAAATTTAATCAACGAAATTGACCATTCAGGTCCATTAAATTCTGACGAATTCCGATCAACCAAAAGCTCCAATTAAAATAGTAGCATGATGAGATATATCCAAACTCCTGACGGTGTTTCCCTCCACACTACGGTAGACTTTCCCGCCCTTTTTTACTTGGCCTGAAAACCCTAGAAGACTCCCTTCCTCATCTTAGCTGATTTCATCCAAATAAAGTAATCGATCTTCTCCAATAACTAAGTTTTTCTTATCATCTTCTTATAATTCTTAGTTTTTGTTGAATTTGGCTCTTTTTCGTCGACTCGTTGATCTGTTCTCTTTTAGATCTGGTGTCACAAGATTACAGTTAAGAGGAATTTAGCGCATCGGAGTCAAGAGAGGATTGAGCTGACTGAAAGCAGATCACCTTCAGAATCCCCGGTCAGGTTACCCTCTTTCTTTTTTCTCTTTTTTTATTCCGTCTGGAATGGAATTTACTGTTATGTGTTGGCATAAACTCAATTTGTGATGATTGGCTGTTTGGTAATTCCATAGCGTAATTGTATTAATCCAAAAGTAGCTACCTCCTTCACGGAAAACAGCTGCATTTTGATTTTATAACGTCAAATCTAGCACCTTTTGTATTAATATGGATTAATATTCTGCTCTCACTACTTCTGATACAGTTTAATTTTGGTTTAAAAAGACTCTAAACAAGTTTACAGTAAACAACATTTTTTTAATTTTGGAAGGTTTCCTATCTGATTTTGAGAAGTATAGGCTTATCTTTTTAGTGGTTGAACACCCATATCTTTAACTGAGAATCTATAATCGTTTTAAGGAGACTACAGAGCTTTACAGTTGTTCAGCTACCAATACAATACATGCTGACAACTGAACTACTGAGCCTTACGGTTGTGACAGAATACCACCATCGTCAGCTTAAACTGTGGAGTTTCTATGTAGAGATTCAGTCGTGCATACTCAGTGGGCTTTCTCGGTTATCATTGTACCACCAATGGTTCTTACATTACACCTTCATGTCTCTGCCTTGGCTTTTCCGCATACTTCTGCATCACTATACGATCAACCTGAATACAAAAATTTATGTCACATGCTTTTTTGCCATTATGGAATCCTCCTCTTTAAGCAACTCTGCAACACCACTATACTGTAATAAAAAACAGATTAAGGCTTTAGGAGGCACTGAATGGCAGATGTAATTACGTCCTATCAACAAACATGTCAGGAGAATATATTATATGGATTAGGGGGAAGTTCTTCATGTTCTTCATGTTAGACTTGATAGGTTTCTTTCTTTGCAATTGCAAGTATTTTTTAAGCAACTTACAATAAATTTATTGACCCATGTAATTCTAGTGCCGAATGTAGTGAGAGTATCCAGCAGAATTTAACTTGCATAACAAGAAGATGAAACCATGAGTCCTTAGGTTTAGTTTTAACAATTTGATATATATCAAGGTTTCTGTAATTCAGGTTTTTTAATTGAGGCTAAACCAAATAAGACCAAGATGGGAAAGACCGAATCTGGTTGCACAAAAGGAGCAGAAGCAGTTCTAAGAGTTCTCCCCAACTCATCAATCCCTATTGCATATCACCCTCTCTTTGGTCCTCATAGTGACCTACTTCTCCTTGAGCTTGATGAGAAGCTTCTCCCTGATGTCATCAACCAAAGGTACCAACTCCAACTGGTATTATTGGCTTTGTTATTCTGCTATCTTCATGCTCAGCCTCTTCTTGTACTTCCGTACTCAGAATAAGCTTACGAGGACAGCCAGAAGAAGATGCAGTTCTCTGTACACAGTCAAAAACTTATGCCATTAAGTTTGTCGGAACCTCAAATTCTGTATTCCTTGTACCCCCCTCAGATCAATTTGCAGTGGATGAGAATCAACAAGATTGCAATGAGAAAGGTTCTGACAGTAATGGACCACATGCATCTGTCCTTAAGGTGGCACCTGGAACCATGGAGCTTGTTGAGGTTGCCCCCAGAATAGACAAACTTAAATCGCTTCTTTCAGAAAATCCATACAAATTTGATGAAGATTCCGAGATGTATGATACTGGTTTGTATAGATGGGATGACCTTATTGACAGGGTTCAAGCTAGCGATGAAGAAATGAGGTTTGCACTTCGAGTTATCTCAGCTGTAGAGATCAATGGGTATTGGAGAATCGTTGATGAGAAATACATGGATGGAATACTAAACATGCTTTTGAATAACACGTTACTGAATGATTGGTCTTTGAATGCGCTTGATGAAGATGAGGTTGTGGAATCTTTGGTGAAGGATGGATTTTCTAACGTGATTGCACACCATTGTTTGGATGTGTTTGGTAGTAAAACAAACAGGAGTGAGGAGGGTGGGAAAAGTTTTTGGGAGTTAGATAACAGACGGGTCTCTGTGCATTTTGCCAGACGGATATTAACATGTGGAAAGATGAAATTGGAAAGTTTTATGGAGGAATGGACAAGAAAAGTCCCTGGAGGAATGGTGGTGAGTTTTGACATGTTGGAAGGGGAAGTGCTAGTAGAAAAGCTTGGAATCCAATCTCTTGTTTATGCTTTTAGTGTCTCTTCTTTGCCATCAGACCCTGCCAATCGTTTCTCCAGGCTCTTCCAAGAGCGATCCAAATGGGACTGGAAGGATCTACAGCCTTACATCAGGTCTTACATCTTTGTGTGCTTATGTTGCTTTTCCTTTACTAGATCTTGCTTCCTCCAGCAGAAACATACATTTTGATTTTTAAGTTCAAATCACCAATCATGAAACATTAAATTGCACATTAACAATAAATTTGGCAATGTTAAGGTTCTAACACATGAATCTTGAAATGGGATGTCGTAGGTTGAGTTCGGACCTCAAAAGTGTTGAAAGCACTTGTTTTCTTGTAGTGGAGTTCAGATAAATATTAGTACTTACACTTTCTTGTTTGCATTTACTATAGGGATCTAAGTGTTCCAGGACTTACTTCAGATGGTTTGCTCCTCAAATACACTAGAAGAACTCAACCTACTGCAGATTCTGAGCCTGTTTTCACTGCAAGATGACTTGGTGAGTTCTCTTTCTAGTACCTAAATTTAGGGTTCTTATTCTCAAGCTGCTAGATCTTAAGATGGCTATTCTTGTAGCAAACATAATTAGTTTGATATTTTTTTTTGTTAACATAGTGATATCTATATTCCCGGGTTTATTCGAATTTTCATGTTAACTAATGTAGCTGAATTACAGTCTAGGTACCCAAGGAAAACTTGGGATCTTGATTTTAAATCCAATCCTTGTATATTCCCTAGTGATTTAGGCCATGTATCTCAACCAGAAACTAACATATTCTTTAAGCATATTAAAAAAAAACCTTCTTTTTACCATGTCTTTTTAGGTCATTTTATGTTTACTAGTTTTTACTGAATATGACTAGTTTATCAGCTAGTTTGCAAGGATAGCTCACGGGAAATGCTTTAACAGGCATATGACAAAAACTTATGCATTGTCGTTAACAAGGAAAACTAGATTCATTTTTTTTAATATGATGCGGTCCACTGGGTATGTACTATGTTGTTTGCACGCGCCACCCAACAAATTTGATCAAGTTTTGTGACGTAAACATAGTATATAATATTGATGCATGCTCAACAAAACAATTGGTAGAGGAATGTGTTTTTCCATCGGAATTCCTAAATCCATCACTAGTTGGGGGAAGAGTCCGTTTGAATCGGATTTTTTTGTCAACAACGTAAATAGGCTTTTCTTCGTATACGTTACTGAGACTTTTCTGTCTATCATGACTTTAGCCCTTAGGCCCTAGATTTAGTCTAGTAAGGAGATGTTAATAGGAACAAGAACGTGTTTATAGCCATGACCATATAAACAAGAATACTCATGAGTTTCTTTGTAGCCGAGGTTATTAAATAGGTAGGATCGGAATTGATCGATATATTTATCGAAACAAACGAAAAAGAATATCAAATTATTAAATAAGTTAGTGCACATCTTGATTTTTTATTAACTTTTTTGGAAAGAGGTAAGATCCGGTGAATCGGAAACAATTAATTAAGAATAGAAAACTTTTTTTTATTAATTATTTCTGATTCACTGGATCTTACTTTTTCCAAAAAAATAAAATAAAAATCAAGATATGCAATAACTTATTTAATAATTTGGTATTAGTATTTATTCAGTATAATGCCACCATTCATCTAGACTTTAGACTAATGCTACTACCTTTATAAATTTAAGTAAGATAATTTATTAATATTTTATTAAAGTTTAAGGTTCCTTTATTTATTAAAATATATTTGAAATAAGACGAAAAGAATGTAGATATCGGATGTCTAGTGTTTTATATACAACTATATATTTCAACCATTTCTTGAAAATTAATCAAGACAAACATTGCTTAGAGGTTATTCGGTTTATTTTTCATCAAGACTTGTATTGATACAGTTGTTTTTATTGATAAAAGAAGGGAGATTCATGGTGAAATTCCAAAAAAGTGAAAAACTAAAGAAATACCTTGGTAACCATTCATGTAAACGGTATGCACATGTGTATACAAATAGTTAAAGTTGTTTCATGGTTTTTATGCATGTATCCATGTAATGCACATGTGCATAATGGACTAATTGTTTACTAATTACTGGTATGTATTGTCCAAATAAATGGTTGCTAGGGTGTTTTTCAATTTTTTTTTTATGATTTTTTTTTCTTGAACCTGACGCTTGATAAAAGTGTTTGAATGATACAAGATAAATGATGTACGATAGTTGTATTAAATAAATAGTCTGAATATCAGAAATGACTATTAACATTCAATCTATATTTTGTCTAATTAACATGATCATTTTAAACCCAAATCAAAACCATTCATTCTCAAAAAAATATCAAACCCTGACATTTAAAAAAAAAATCTTTAGATTAAAGTAATTTGGAACCAATATTCACTAGAGTAGTTCTTTTGAGATGGAGGCCATGGGAATGGGCGAATGCTAGGAATAAAGGTAACAGAAGATACTCTCCCAAAATGATATGAAAAAAGTAAAGGATAATTCAAGAGATGGAGGAAGCAATGATACCCTACCAAAATGATGTAAACACTGATTTCACATACGATAATCATTAGCAGAAACTTTCCCAGAAGAAACACAAAATGATTCCAAAATTGACTAAGACTTATTGTTGAGATTTACAGCTTTGGAGATGAATGGCGCCAGCTGGAAGACCAACGATGGCTGGAGCGATCGAGCTTTGATGAAGAAAACAACTTTGAGATTTGATACAAAAATCAAGAGGTGTGAGCTCACCTTTGTTTTAAATGTAAAAGGTAGTGTGAGTTTCTATTGTTTCAATGAAGGGTGATTTTTTTTTGGATTAATCTGGATATCCAATCTGCTATGCAAGCCGATTAATCCCAGGGCGACCACATGCTTTGTAGATAGCCCGGAGTCACCGCATTTGAATCTTCGTGGCCACACGAGGATTTTTATTTCTCCTTGGATTTGAACCTGGGACCTCCAGGTACTTTTAACCTTTGAAGTCAAGCTCAAACCAATCATGCATCACCCTTGTAGTTAATGGATGATGATTACAGTCTTCTATAGTTGAGTTAATAAGCTACAGGGTCTATACAATCTATTAACCATAAATGAACAACCCTTAATAACTTAATGAATAAGCTATTAAGTAAAAGACAATTTTTATTATTTTATTTTCCATATTGAAATGAATTAACATATTTCTTTAGAGACATCATTTTTATAAAACGTGTATCTTTTATTTCTTCGGAATTGACATACGTCTTTTTTTCTTAAACTTCTTCATTTTGTTGCTTAACGGAATGAATTTTGATCATTGGGCCCCATCAATGAATTAATTATCAAAACATCAACCAAATTAAATGCTTTAAATGGATTTTGGTTTTTAAAAGCATTTTCAATGGAGTTCTTCAAAATTTATTCAAGAGAGTAAATTATGATTCTTGTCTTGATAATTTAGGTTTTAATCCTTAAGGTTTAGAAATTACGACTTTCTTTTCTATAGTTTGTTATTTGTTTTTATTTTCGTCCATAGACTAATTCCTACCTTCAAATACAAGAGACCAAAACAGTAACGAATTATAAACTGGAGGGACCGAAACAACAATAAATTTTAAACTATAAGGATGAAAATAACAATGTATTTCAAATTACAGGGATGAAAACCATAATTTCTAAACCATATGGATGGAAATCACAATTTTTAATAAACAACAGGGACGAAAAATATAATTTACTTCTATTCAAAATAAACAATCAAAATTTAAAATCTTTAAAAGAAATTGCAATCAACTTAAAGCATGGAATGGAGTGGAGACCCCAATCCCCATCCTCGTCCCAGTCTTTGTCCCCATCGAGGAATATGATTACATCCGCATCCTCGTCCCTATCGGGGAATATGATTACATCTTCATCCCTATCTTCAACAGGGAATCAGGGATTTTTCCTGCTAATATAAAATATTTTAAATCAAATGTACTAAATACCACGTTCGATCGATAATGATTTATGTTTAAAACTCACATATTTTCAAATTTTGCTTTTATGGAGTATCAAATATTTATATATGGACAAAATCACATCACATACGTAATTGTTTGATCAAACGCTTTCGACTTTCATCTTTTTTTTATCTAAAAAAAGTAAGACAACTCAGAAAAAGATGTATATAAAATAAATGTCAAAATACTATTTCTAAATCTAAAAGATATTAAATCTATTTATAAATAATATATTTAACAATATATATAATATTAAATATTCAAAGACGGGGCAGTGCAAGGACAACGTTACCCGTTCCATCCCCATCCCCGATTCCTGGTTTTGCGGGGAATCCTCGTCCCCATCAAAACAGGTACATTGGGTTCTCCAATAGGACGGGTCTCATTCCCATGCCTAATCAACTCCAACATCTTCTCAATTTTGAAGATTATAACATTAATCGCATTATAAACAATATTTCATATATATTTAATAAAATATTGTTTTTATCTCTTAAACATTTATTGTTAAGGTTTATTATTGATAACAATATAATATAAAAAAACTATTTCTCTCTCATGGTAATTTTTTTTTTACGAGTTCTCTAAATTTTAGAGAATTTCAAACACACGCACTCTCTCTCTATTACTTTCTTCCTTGTAAGTTTATAATTTATTGTTGTTTTCATCTTTAAGACTTATTCACTCAGTGATTTACCGTTAAATATAAGGAAAGAAAGCTATAATAAATTGTAAGCCACAAAGACAAAAACAGTAATTTCAAAAACATAAGGACTTAAATAGAACTTTTCGATAAACTACAGGGACTTAAAACGTAGGTTACTCTAAACGAAATGTGGAAAAGGTGGTTAGAATCTGGTATGCTCACCCTCACCGTATCTCCAGTTCATCAACCACTATCGGTCGACACGTCAAACGCTAAAACCCAACGCCTTCTTCAAACACACGCCATTTACTCCGTCTATATAACACCACCTTTTCTTCATCTCTTTCTGCTCTGCTTGTCACCTGCTTAACCCTAAGGTTTATCTTCCATCTCCTTCTTTTATTTATATCATGTGGTATTAACAATTTGTATAGTTCGAATTGAACTGTGAAATAATGAAATTTGATAGTATTTTTATGATTTCTGGTTTCTTATTACACGGTTTTTGTTTTCCTTTCTTTGATTTTGATTTTAAGGGGTTGATAATTTCAAGCACTGCTGCTCAATTTTTCTCCCTCTACGAACAGGTTTGTTGGATTAACTTAGTATATGAACTAAGCGTGTAATTGATGATTGATTTCGTAGTGAAATGATTATTATCATTTGGTACAATTGATATTTTGAATTCAGAGATCTTTTACCATTGTTGTCATTTATACTCGTTTCTCTTTAGAATTAATCGCTGCGCATGATTTTTCAATTCGAAATTAGTATTTTTCATGTTTGAAGTGCAAATTCGACATGTATTCATGTTTCCCTTTGGAGCGATTGTTATAATTTTTGAATTTTTGATGTGGTTGATCGGTTTCTTCTTTGTCAAATTCTGTAATTCATATTAAACGTTGATTTTTGTTTTCTTTTTCCTGAGAAAGTGGAGATTTTTTTTATTGTTATTGTCATATTCTATTGAATTAGGATGGTGAGGATTGGTTGTCTTCTTTATATCGGGACTGAAGATTAGATTTCATGTAAATTCTCTTTAAAATTTGTTCAAATTGAAGTTCATTTAGATGTGTTTTCTGCTTTAAGTATGAGTGTGCATCAGAAGATTATGAATCACAGCAGACAGACGGATGATCGATGTGGTGTCAATTTGGTTTAAAAGGAGGAAAGAATATAAAATTTTGACAGAGTGTTGGCTGGAAACCTGTGATACAAATGTGTTGGACATTGATTGTTGTATGTGTTTGTCAAGAAATCAATGTGGATCAGGCTTTCATCTAGGAGGGGATGTGGATTTATCTATCTGGAACTGAAATAGTAGACGTTTGAAATTAAGTAAATTGTTTTCCTCTTAATTACTATTTGAGATTCTTGAAGGCTAATGATATCAATATCATATGGTGCAATATATACCTTAAAAAGTCGACACCTTTTGGCCCGTCTCTCTTTTGTAATAAGCTACAGTAATTGATTCAAGTTGTTCATGGTCCCTTGTATATGGATTCAGTATAGAGTGGACATCTCAAGGTCTAATCATGTCCATGTTTTATCATAAATTGGAAAATATGGGGTTTATCATGTCCAAATATGGTATAAACTATGAGTGTGGACTTATTTTGATTTGGGACTATCGAATGTGTTTATGGCTAGTATAAATCGTCATTATAGGATTTATCGATTTTTAAGCCAGGAGGTGTAGGGAGAGTAACAAAGTTGCTTCTGCTATATTCAGCCTTGTGGTTAAAATTGAACAAGCCCCGCCTACAAGCCATTAAACTGGACTGCTTCCGTTTCTACATGGTAAAGCTTTTTCATATTCTTAAGGTACTGCTAGATAAATTGAACCTAGAACCATGTTTCTGAAAGTCTGGTGAGTGTGAATTAAACCAATGGTCGTTGCTCTCGAATGCATTATCTTTGAACAGGAAAACTTCTACTGATATAAAGCAGAAAAGGTGAAGTGCCAAAAGGCATCAATACCAATAACCTATCTTACCTTTCTAAGATAAGTACTGGCAGTGTCTGTAAGTATGTTTGAATTGAGCAAAGTAAGTACATGTAGAATAATTGTTTATTGTGATTCTTTCCTTTACAGATATGAGTATTAATTTTAATGCATGCTTTGTTGATCATTGTAGAGTTCATAAAATCAAGCTTCTCATACAGACATGATATATTTTGTTTTTCTTGCACAGTTGCGGTAGAAGCTTTCTTTTAGTGTCCAGGGAGAGCTGCTCACTTTAACATCACCTTTAGTGACTCGTGGAGTAATCTGACCTTCTATCACATAATAAAAATAGGTCACTTAGGGCATAATAGGAAATATTGAAAATGTGTTCTGTCTTATACATTGTGACTTGATAGTTCTGGGAAATATTGATACGGTGTTAAGGTTCTGGTTGTGTTGGGAATCTTAGCATTTTAGGAGTGTCAATATGTTGAAGTATGTGGATTCGATGGCTTTGTTAATTTACAGTATTTGCTTCCTTCAAGCATAACCCTTCACCTTATGCTTCTCAGTTTTTGCTTGGTATTTGCCTCATTTTGGGGTGCTGAGTGGGTCGTTTGCCATAACCATTGTGTGAATCAGTTCGCAAAATCAGGTGAATCGAATGCAAGTAAGGTATGTCTAAATCAGAAGATCCAGAGATAAAAAAATATTTGGAGGGTTTGAAGAAGAAAAGAAAAAAACATGAAGTTGGAGGCAACGTCCTTCATGATTGAAAATTGAAATTGCATAGATGATAAAAAAGAGAGGAAAACAGTAGAGAAAGGATAGAGAATTTCTACTGAAATTTCCTTTAGCCAACTTGAGTAAGGTTTTGTCTGAGTTACAACTCATAATGGCAATAAATTATCTTTGCATTTTCTATGTGGACTAAATATATTGTAATCTTATTCGACTAAATATATTGTAATCTTATTCTTTCTTTTCTCATACTAACAAAAAGAATTGCATTGAACCTTGAGGGACAACTCAAGTGGCAAAAAAGATCAGGCCTTGGATTCCTTCCCATAGGTTGCCGTTTCAAGTCTCCTTAGGGCCAATGGGGATTTTTCTGGCTATTATCTTTAGGGCCCTATAGGATTAGTAGAGGTGCGCACAAGCTGGCCGAAGACCCATGGTTACCCAAAAAAGCTGTGCCGATTGCAAGCAAATAAGGCTGCTAATTTAAACTTAATTTAGCTACCTTCTTGAATTCCATATCAAAAAGGTAGTTGCCTTATTTTACTTATTTTTAATTGATATTTATATTCTAGCAATTAATGCTCCATCCTTATGGAAATAGAATTTGGGTCTCCAAATGTAATGTATGCAAATTATTTATTTGAAGACATTAACTTATTTATTTTAAGACTATGTAGCCATTTAAGATTTACTGCAATAGCTACCATTAATTAACTATTTACAAATGTATGTAACATATTGCACTCATCCTTACAACATTACATTTATCCTCAGAGCCTAAGCAGTTAATGTAGACGATAGTGGAAATAGCGGTCCGGCCTTGATTTGAAATAGCGATAATAGCGATGAGATAGCGGTAAAAATAAAATATGGTCATAAAATAAATACGAATATATAATTATATATATATATCACGTCAAACACTTAAAATATTGTATGCCTAATACATATCAAGTCAAATAGTTCAAACCACACAAGCAACATAGTAATAAAGTTTATAAAGCTCATAAACAACTAAACGAGCTAATTTTAATCCACAGGCTCGGCATTTGAATCCGCATCATTTAGTATATCCACTCTTTCAAAAATCGAACAGCAGTTGAGCAAAAATCAAACAGCAGTGAGAGTAGTTGGAATCGAACAGAAAAAATCGATAGCTGTCAGCCGAGAGTTGAGACTCTGAGAGTCAATCAGTTTAGAGTTGAGGGAGAGCTGAGAGCTGATCAGTTTAGAGTTTAGAAAGAGCTGAGAGTTGAGAAATCGATGACCTAATTCAATTTTTTCTTTTCTGTTTAATTGTTTGATTAATTTGTTTCTTTTTCTTTGCAGGCTTCGTCTAAAATAGACCACGCCAAAAGCCCGAGTTATTGTTTTAAGTTTAGTCCAAAAAAGTCTCCAACGAGATAGCGTTATAGCGAACCGCTATTTGGAAGCAAAATAGCGGTAATAGCGGCCGCTACTTGCAGTACCGCTGTTTAGACCGCAAAACCTGGACCACTATTTGATTGAGGACCACTATTCGATATAGCGCCCCTATAGAGTTGCTATAGCGCACAATTGACTGCCCAGCTCAGAGCTTACCTGATGAGATTACCCCACACATTAAGGCCAAATAACTATCCCAAATATGAAATTGGTCTTTGGTCATGAGTAATGATTGATGTTTAGTTATGGTCCAGGTTTTAAGCTCAAGCACTGTTGGTTTTTTCTTTGTTGATCTTTTCTTTTTCCTATCTTAGTGTACATACTTTTTGGCACAAATGTTAAGTCCAGGAAGTCGTGAGCATTGTTGATTACTGTAGCCAAGTTCTTACAACATCTAAGTTTTAATAAGCTGACTTGTTCTGAAGGAACCAATTGTTAGTATGACAAGTTCAATGTTTAAAAAGGAAGAGGTTGTCTATGTATTGTAGTTCAAGTACCTAATGCTTTCCTGTGGGAAGAATGTGACCAGGAATTCAAGCCAACGACCAAGTTTTAAGGGTGGTTTTAATTAAATAACGTTATCCATGGATTCCCTACGTATAAATCTACGACCTGCTGCCTAGAATCTGATCAAACTATCTGCTTCAATAAGATAAGAAAATTTACACAGTTGAGAAGATTTACTTGAAGAGGCTCATTCCAAACCGTTAAAGCATGGTGGCCAATTACTTGTTCAATTGGGTTCATTAGTAATTCCAAAGGAGACTACTCTTTCTCAAAACTGATCTTAACCAACCAGCAGAACCAGTTTTCTTGGCATCAGGGTGAAGTTTAGGTCATAATTTTTATAACTAGAAGTAGCTAATGAGTTGATTTCTGTCATGTATAACTATCAAGGCTTAACCAAGTTGTGTTTTTTATTTTTTATCATGGGTTTCTTGAACTAAAGGGTCCTAGAGTTTATAACATTATGAAATTTTCATTTGTGGTCTTCTAAAAAAGTTTACGAGTAGGTGGGCCACTTACTCGGCTTTACTAAACCTTTTAGTTGGGTACCTCATGGAATACATTGGTTCGTTCGGCTTAGTTACTAAACCTTTAGTTCCCTCTTGATTAAAGATTTGTGATCATGTATGACATTTAAAGTGCATGTAAAGAACACTCTTTAGATTTGATTTAGTTTCTTACAGAGAGTTATCACAGTGCAGAAGAGCCATATCATGGAGAAAAATGGGGCAGGATGCGAAGCTTCTCCAGAAGCTGCTGCTATCCTTTGCATCAACAACTGTGGATTCTTTGGCACATCAGCAACAATGAACATGTGTTCAAAGTGTCACAAAGACATGATATTGAAGCAAGAGCATGCCAAACTTGCAACATCCGCAATCAAAAACATCATGGATGGAGGAAACGACAAGGAATCGGCTCGTGTCCCTTCATTGTTTGGTGCACCATCTGGTTCCGCAGCGTCAGAGATGGCTCAACCATCTTGCGGGTCACCGACTCAAGCTGAAAGCAATAGCAAGTCCAAAGAGGGTCCCACCAGGTGTATGACTTGCAGGAAACGTGTTGGTTTAACAGGTTTCAGTTGTCGTTGTGGGAACCTTTTCTGTTGTGTTCATCGTTATTCTGATAAGCATGATTGTCCATTTGATTATCTCACAGCTTCTAGGGATGCCATAGCCAAAGGTAACCCTGTTGTTAAGGGTCAAAAGCTTGACAAGATTTAAGGGAGTCTACTGCATCTTGGCACTACCTGTCTCCCTACCTGTGAGTCCTCTACTCATTTCTGCCCTTGCATGTTCATATAGTTGCTGTATCATATATGGTGCCAAAGGCATCTCTTTGCATCCTCAAGAACATAGGCCATATTTTGTTTATCAGCTTCAAAATGTTTACTGCTTTGTTTGTCGGATGTACTTTTGCTTTCGTTATCATGATAATCGTATATTTTTTTAAGTATATATTATTTATATACGGCAAATACTTACGCACACTCCTGACCTCCTGGAGGCTCGGTAACCCTTTGGTCTGATGATAGCATGTTGATGGTGTAAGTTTTTTCCGTTGGCATATGTCAAGTAGATTAGTAGTTTATTTTACGGTTGGTGCATGTGTCGAGCTTTAAGCCTTGGCTAACAAGACTAGTAACCCTTTGGGAACGCTCAGCTGGTAAGGTACTGGGTTTATTCCTCAGAGGTCAACTAGTTCAAGTCTTCTTATGACAACTATAGAGTTTGTGTGGCTGTTAACCAGGGGCGGACCTACTAAGGAGCAAGCGTGGTCCCGTGCACTTGCTCACTTGATTATCGCCAAGAGAAAATTATGGCGTGGTAAAGGTCCACTCGCTTAATTTTGAGAATGCTCTAAAATATTTTAAATTTGATTCATCAACAAAGATTTAAGTTGGCGAGATGGTCATTGAATGCTCAGATAAAGTGCCTCCAGTGGAGGTCTTAGATTCAAATCCAATTTGCAGCAAATATGATGATTTTTGGTTCACAATTAGAGAGCCAATAGTTTTTATTTCAACTCTTATCTTTTTCAATCCTAAATCACTTCTGAATACTCCATTAATTTAATTTTCATTCCCAAATTTGTTCACTTTTTATTGATTAACTACATCCTGTCATCTTCTTGTAAATTATCATGTTTTTAATAATTAACTTCCCAAAAAACATGACTTGGTGTTAATAATGGGGTTTGAGTTCTCATTTCTTGTTAGTGTTAATTTGTTTAATCAATCTAGGGTTCTTTTAATTTTGTTGGTTAATTTTAATTTGTAAGACATCTTATTTAATGATAAAATTCTAGATGCATGAGGAAACAAAGTCAGAAACCTAGAGAAAAGGTAAAGGATATCGAAAATCAAATTCTAAAAATTGAGAAATTTTACGAAATCAACTAAAAAGACTGAGCAAGTCCCTTAAAATCAATCAAAAACCCATAAAATTCTCCCTAAATCAACCAAAAAGTCTCTTATGAGCCAAAAAGAAATTAAAAAAATCATTGAAATCAATCAAAAAACTTAAAGGATCTCTTCAAACGATGAAATTCGGTTATAAACACATCAAGCGGCTTTGCAATGGCATGAATGATGATGTACGTAACTGCTTTTAGAAGACGAGGACTCGTCGAGAATAATTCTAGAAGGTAACTTGTTTTATCGTTTTAATGAAATCGTATTTTTATTTAAAAAAAATTCTCTTAAGCTTTTTGTTCATGTCTTGTTCACCTAAAATTTTGGATCCATCATTGCTCTTAATTTTCGGGTCATGGGATGTGAGGTGGGTGCACATCTCAGAAGCAAGTTATTGGGGTAAGGGCATATGCCTCCAACCAAAAGTAAAATAAAAGTTTGGTTTAATTTTATAAACCCCAGTTTTCGAAATTCCAAAGAAATGTTGACTCAGAATTATCACATCTTATTGATATGACAACAAGAGCTATAATAGTAACCATACACAAATGCCACTCTTATCCAAATATACATCTCTTCTTGATATGCCATCCTTATCTTATGGTACATCTTTCCTTGATATGTCATTCTTATCACATGGTACACATCTCCTTGATATGTCATTCTTGTTTCTTCATCAAATCTAGAGATAAATCTGTAGTTTTAGCCAATAATGGCCTCAAAATAGTTTCATATCAGAAACTTTAATCTCAAGAACTCTCAAGTTCTTAAATTCACTAGTTAATCTCATCTCAATATTTCCTTTCAAAACAGATTTCTTATCTCAACAGCTTGGAAAGAAATAACAGTATCTTTCCTTAATTTAAACCAACTTTTGAAAGACATAGATTCCCCTTTTCAACACAAAATAGTTTTGAAACTGTTAAACAACATTTTGGAACATAACTACTTTTCATCGGACAAGGCATGGGCGATAACTGCCCTCATCGGCCAACATTAGGGCCGATAACCTCTTCTCATCGAACAACACTATCCGGACAACACTTGAAAAGTGAAAACATACTCACCCGTCAACATTTTGTCCTGTAACTACCTCACCGGGCATCACTTAAAATATCAATATTGAAATCGTACAATACTGTCTAACGAGCATCCTCACTGGACAAGGCATTGATTGATAAACCTCAATCTAGTCAACACTTAAAAGTCCCAAACACTAAACCGTTCAACACTTTGGGCGATAAAAAGCACAAACCAGACAACCCTTATCCGATAAGGGTCTTCACCGGACAATACTTCATCCGGTAAAGTCCTCATCGGACGAAACATAAAATAATCAACTCTTACACCAGTCAAGGCATGACCGGTAAGGGACTCTCATCGGACAACACTCTGTTCGATTACAGCCCCTCATCGAACCATGCATTTTACAAGAACATAAATATACAAAGTATGCACACCAGCAGTTTTATACAAAACCAAAATCTATAAACAAATTCAAATATGATTATAAAAACTCACATTTATGCAAAAACTTGAATTTGAAGAAGCAGAAATATGCACACAAAATCTGCTTCTACTTTGATCCGGAGTTTCAACTTTGGCAAGAAACACACAATTTCCTCTCTTTCAAAGCTTACTAAAAGTGGCAGAAAAACTTCTTCCTAAAATATCATCCTTTTATACTTGCCTTTTTAAGAAGGCGGTTTAAAAAGAATAATATAAAATTCTTTTCCTCTTCACAACCCCATACACACATGCACATATACTTCATGATATATATATATATATATATATATATATATATATATATATATATATATATATATATATATATATATATATATATATATATATAGACAAACTCCTGCAAAACTTTAATAGAGATCATAAATCGTATATTGTAGCTTTATAGGCTTTTGATTTTCATGGCCTAAATTTATAGGCTTTTTGACTCTTGTATCTTATCACTTGTATTATTAGTATCTTTATCTTATCAAGTATATCTTTTGTAATCATAGATGGACATATGAAGGTCTATAAATACCTTCATTCTCTTCATTTGTAAATAAGAGTGAACGAATTCAAGAAAAAATTTCTTTTCTATATCCATGAGTTGCTAAACCTCTTCCTATCTATCTCTCTAACTTAGTTTCATACTCTTAAACTCCCTTTCCAACTCTTCATATCATATCCCTTACCTTTAAAAAAAACCCGCTGCACATACTCTTCTTCCTTCAAATCCTTCAACGTCTCTGTAACTCTAACGTGTCTGTAAGTATATATATATATATACTTGGGATCATATGAGACCAATGGTTTTTCGTGAGACCCGTAAGACCAATTCACAACTTTTGGATTAGATCTATAATATGAAAATCTAAACATTCATAAATGCCATGAGACTTCTCAATAATCACAAAATTGTCATTGTGCAATTTAAACCATTAGATCATTCACTTATAAAGTTGATCAATGAATATAAATTGGTCTTACGGGTCTCACGAAAAACCTTTGGTCTCACGTGAACCCAACCTTATATATATATATATATATATAGGCGGAGGTCTATATATATAGGTGGAGGTTCAAACGAGAACCCCTGTAATTTACGAGAACGCGAGAACAATCTAATAACCTCAAACTTTTTTAATTAATAAATTAACTTATATTAAATATAAATAAATTAATAAGGGCAATAATGTAATTAAGGTTTTTATTATTTTACTTTAATTAGTCATAATCTTTTTTTTTTCCTAAACGTTCGTTTCCACTCTCTTCTCTCCCCTTGTGATAATTGTGTGATTGTGTAACCATAACATGTCGAAACCATGATCAATCAAGTGTAACCATAACCTATCGAAACCATGAGTAATCGTTATGATAAATGTGTGATTGTCTAACCCTAACCGATTGAAACCATGATCAAATTGAGTGCGCACGTGATGTTATAATAGTGATATCACATGATTATCACACATATATCACACCAAATCGTTTAGTGGATTTCGCCCGTAATCGTTGTGATAAATGTGTGATCGTCTAATCCTAACCTATCGAAACCATGAGTAATCGTTGTGATAAATGTGTGATTGTCTAACCCTAACCGATCGAAACCATGATCAAATCGATTGTGATGTTATGATAGTGATATCACATGATTATCACACTCATATCACACCAAATCACACCAAATCGTGTTAATATAAGCGATAATATGATAATTGTGTGATAATCACATGATTATCACACCCATATCACACCCAAATCGTGTTGATATAAGCGATAATGTGATAATTGTGTGATAATCACACTCATATCACATGATTAACCGTTTATTAGATAATCATGATCGTGTAATCGTGTTAAAAGATTTTATGATATCATTTCCATTATTACCCTTTTAATTTTAATATTTTTTCAATCTTTTTAAATTTCAATTTTAATTTTAAAAATCTTTTAATTTTATTTTTTATCACAATATGGGGTTATTGGGTTGTTCTCGCATTCTCGTAAATCACAAGAGTTCTCGTTTGAACTCTTTCATATATATATATATATATATATATATATATATATATATAGGGGAGCGATCAAATATAAACCACTCAATTTGTACAAACCGTGCAAACCGCATTCAACCAATCATAATTTTTCATTTTGTTCATTTTTTTGTAATTATGAGAGGTTGATTAATCATTTTTATTGTGGAAGGTGTTAATCATAGATATTATCATCTTCATAATTTTAATTTTAGAGAAATACATGAAACAGTTTCATTAATGTTAGAGAAATACATGAAACAGTTTCATTAA